TAATTATCTATTGGCTATCTATAAGGCACAATTATATATAATTAACAAACTATTAACTTTTATTTAACAAGTCATTTATAACTCATTAACTAACAGTTTATTAATGATCTATTAACTACTTATAAATGATAGTTATTTTAAAGTGTTACCAAAATTATTTTTCAACAAAATCTATTTTTTGCTTAACATTTTACAACACTTTTCACAAAAATGTTACAGAAATGCATTCTCTCATCTACAGTATTAAACTATATTTCCCCACAATACATTTGTAATCACTTAAAAGTTCATTTAATATACTGAATTTATAACAGAAATAAAATTTTGCAATAGAACAATAGAAGTATTGTAATGAGATATGCACAATGTCTGATTAATTTTACAATACTAAAATGTCTGCATGAACACTGCACATGCAGGACTTTTGCGTGCTCGAGTGTGTAGAGGAAAGCAAATGCCAAAAGGTGCGGATATCCATAATAAAGCTGTATTTATCCGAAAATGCTCACCAAATCTTTATTAAAAATGCCTCAAATGTTTAGTTTACAATAGCTATAGTTTTGTTTTACCAGTTGTTTTGTTTTATAGAATTTATTAGTTAATGTTTATGAGTTTATTTAAACTTGTGCTTTTTAATGATGATTCATGTTTTAATATGGAAATTATTCATAAAATCACTTTGCCTTTCCAGGAGTATTTATTTTCATAGATATTGTAATAATGAAGGAGTTGTTTAACACTTTTGTACCTTTTTATGAGAACAATAGTGTACTTTTGATTGTACTTTTGAATTGTACCATAAAAGGCACAGAACAGTATCATAAGAGGAATTTTCTGTTTCATATAAGATACAACTTTTAGAAAGGTGCAAAACTGTTCCTTAAGAAACAACAGGTAGCTTTTTTTTCTGAGAGTGTACAGTCAGTTATCTTAGGATTTATTTTAAATAAAGAAACTATTAGTAGTGTTTAGCAATATAAATAAATACACATTTTTAGAGTGCAGAAAAATTAAAATAAAAGATCACATATATGCATCTAAAATGGAATCAAACACATAAAACCCTCCAAACACCTTGAGAATAAGCAGTGCATATATACAGTATATCTGATATGCAGTTTGATATGCATAAACAGATATTTTATAAGCACATATCCTCCATTCTAAATCAGATGCCGCGATTTATTAGCACCTAAATGAATGTCAAACCGCATTAATCACGTCACGTCACTCTGATTCATCTTGACATGTTTACAGTCTGTTTACTTTTTAGAAGACTAATGACACCAATATCGCAAACCGCACCCGGAAAGCTGGGATTCTGGGGGTTTCTGATTAGAAAAAGAGAAGCAGGAGAGAGAGAGAGAGAAAGGGAATATATGTGGGGAACTGCTTCTCTTATGTTTGCCCAGAGCTACTGGCTTAATCTAATGTCACAGAGTCACACAGTTGTTTATTGATCATAAAAGGGCAGTGTGTTATTTTAGGCCACAAGTAACTACACAAACACACATACACACACACACTCACAAAATCAATGTCTTCCACTGTAACATGCAGTAGTGAATGTTGGTCTGCTTGAACGCCTCTTGCTGTGCTGTGTGTATGGCAGCCGGTTCATGGAAACTAACACAATAAGCCATTTCCTTTGAAGATTATGAATGGTTTGACATGCAGGTTAAGTGTTTTGGGGGCGACTTGCTGAGCCCAAGGCTTGTTTTCATGTGTACTGCTCTGTTAAAGTGCTCTATTGTGATACCAACATGGTTTGTCAGTTAGAAAACTGTCTGAAACACTGAGAGGAATGTTTCATATTGCATGCATTTTAAATCGTTACGATAGAGCGTAATAGTCCCATCTAGAACTGTTATTTCTGCTCATTCGGAAATGCATTATACATTTGCTGAATGTCAAGTTTGTGAAATGCAGACACATTTATAGTGCAAATATCTCCCTGTGAATTGAATTGATAGAGATGCCTCACGCCAAATGCATTTGGAATGTTTGAATGTCAGTGCATTAGATTCAGAATATTAAACCAAATAAATAAATAAATAAATAAATAACACATGCACATAAAAAAGAGGGGAAAGGCATCTGGAGGCAAATGGAAAGCAATAAATAAATGAATATTACATTTTGTGTCTCATACAACAAATGAAGTATTGTCATTTTGAATAAAAACAAAATTAAAAAATCTTTTAAATTGAGACAAAATGACAATTTATTAATTAGTTTGAAAAAAGAAGCATGAAAAAAATCAACATACAACAATCAGCCAATTTGAATGTTATCACTGGATTGAACAGGCTTTATCAGTGGTTATCTGCTGATCGATATGGGGCAGTAGGGGTCTTCTGTGCCTACTAGTAGGCTGTTATCATCCATCCACATGGTTAATCAGCTATAGATCACATATGGCTGCATCCGACAGTTAACCAGAATTGTTTATATTATTTATTAAATTTCCCCTTAATTGTATTTTATTAGTGTCTTCCCCTACCCCACCCTAAACCCAACCATCACAGATCTGGAGTCTTCTCTATTAGTATAGCTGATTAACCATGTGGATGGCTGAAAAACAGCCTTCTGGCTGAAAAACAGCCAAATCTATCAGCTGATAACCACTATAAATGACCATGCAATCGAGTGATAACATTTGAAGCAGGTGAAACAATAGATGTACTGCTTGAAAAGTTCTTTAATTGCTCAAAAATCCCATTTGGTTGAGATTTTGTAACCTAATTTATAAATGTGGGATATATAAAACCCTATGAGATTATATTAATTACAAACTACAAAATCTGAATCTGACTGTATATATATATAATGACATATATATCATCGAGAGGGAGAGGGAGAGAAAGAGAGAAATGAACAATCTTTTACCTAGCGACTGAAAACAGCCCACGTGAGAATTGCTCAATTCACTAAATAAATAAATAAATGGATAAATATTTAAGATGTTGGTAGCGATAAGAAGAGTTCTTGTGGGAACAGCGTTTTGTTTTCAGTCAAGGTGCGCAGCGTTTTGTGACAGTGTGTAGCTTCTAGCACAGAGTGAAACAACAGTTTGAACGCTATGAAAGATTCACGCTAGAGAAACCTCTTTTCACCCAGTCCCCACTTCTGCCCACCTCTTCTACTGTCTACAAAGCTCTTCTGAAATGAGAGCACATTCAACAGTTTGAACACTATTAAAGATTCATGCAACAGAAGCTTCTTTACACGCTCTCCACTCCTGCCCGCCTCTTCTACTGTCTACAGACTCTTCTCAAAAAAGCATTTGTAAGCAGTCAGAAGCCAACCAGACAACAATAACATTTTTTAATTTACATGATAAAGGGCTGCAAACACCACTGCACCAAAGGCAGGCCAGAGGATACATACGCAATGTAATAAAAAAAGGATTCGAAAATTCATTATCAGGTTGGCCCATTTCTTCGATTCTAGTCAGTTCTTAAACGAACCATTTTAATGGAAAGAACATTTGAATAATCTAAAGAACTTTTCCTGAATTGAATCCCAGGTTGTGGACCATTCCCGATCTTGTTCCTACCTCTCTCCCTCATCAAATATGCCAAAAATAAAACTAAACAAAAGAGAAAAATATGTTTGCACCTGAAGCAGACATTTCACATCAAATAAACAGTAACTGATCCCCTTTTTTTGTGATATCCCTGAAGTGAATTTTTTGAATGGTCTTGAAATAAATTCAGAGTCCTACTAGTCTGAGACAGAAACAAGAAAGAATACAAATGTGTTCAATAACAAGACAACACCAAAAATCTGCTATTACAGAACTAGTTATCCATCACATACATAATCACAGCTATTTTACGGGATTGTCGGACAATTCTTGAAAATAGATTGTGCTTTGGTGGTAGCTTTTTCCTAGTGGCCTTGTTGTATGCCTCTCCTGTTAGAAGCCAAACATGGAAGGTAATGGATTTTTAGCAAATAAGAAAACACAAGTCAGTAATAAGCAATCAAATGCACCCTGTTATTGACTTTCTTTAGTATTCATTGTTTTGTGCATACTGTGTTATTTAGTTGTTCTGCCTTTTCCATTGCAAAGAGCTAAGACGAATCAAAGTACAGTGGAAATCCCATTCATCATCATCAGTTAGATAACAGCCCCGGTATGATCTAATTGATGATGATGTATTGGTTTTTCACTGTATGTTAATTACACTGTGGATTATGTCGAGTCGGGGTATTTTTAGTCCCCTGCACACGGAGGCAAACACTCATAGACTCATAAAAGATTCCCCAACACATTGTGAGGGATTTGTATTTCATTTAGCACAGGAATTAATGCAATGTTTAATTACAAAATAAGATGCACAGGCAACATCAGGCTATATATGCTCGTCTAAAACAACCATTCAGCTACCGTATGCTGTTCTCTCTTTAACATTTGTTTGATTTAGGTCATGCTGTAATTAAAAAAGCAGTCTATTTTAAGAGTTTCCTTTCATTATCAGAGTGGAAAGGGTCTCATAAGCTAATAAGGTGGATGGATGTAAAAGTAAACTCTTCTTTATAGAGTGAGGGTGTGTGTGTGTGTGTTTGCGTTATCAGGATGAGCTAAGCTGTTAGACGTTAATTGGCCTCGGAGAGCGTGTGAGAGTGTTTGTGTGATTGATCTGTGCTAACTTTAGCTCATGGTAGGTGAGCAACCATAACGATTGTATACACATGAAAACATAAGAGTCAGCTTTAAAAATTGGATTTTCAAAAATAGCTCTGAAATGCCACCATGCACTTAGCAACATTGTTAATAGTTGGAAATTGAGGTGCACCGGAAATGGTGGGTGTTCATTTGATCTTAATTGTTATCCCAAGTTTGTGTAAGTGGGTTATTTCTCAATGCACAGTGTAAAATATTCACATTTATATAATGTTGTACCCTCACAGAGGGAGTATTGTTAGGACTTGACCTAGTTTCATCAAATATCAATACTTAAGTTCTTTTTTTTTTTTTCTTATTTCTGCAGGATGCAATATGAAAATGTGGTCATGAGCGGGTATCTGATGAGAAATGAGGCCCTCGGAAAAAACAAGCGCTTCCTGCCCTGTGGGAGGTTATGTGTGGGAATGCTCAGATACTCTATCTGAAAAGCTTTCGCACATAAACAAGACTCTGGTCATATATGAAGCCTCCTTTCCAGTGTGACAAGACACAAAACGCTCTTTGAGAAGAGAAAAATCAAGCTGATATCCCTAATAAAACACAACAATCATCCATGTGATTTCAACACTGCATCCAGTTACAAGCAACGTTGCATCTGTTGTTAAAGGTCTGTGTATTCAAAGAAAACACCTGCTGAAGCTATGACTGAAGCACAGATGTCCATTTCGTCTGGGTCTAGTGGACATGGAGGAGGAATGGTGACCAGTGCCTTACTTTGCTGGGCTGTGGCTCTTGTGTTCCTCTCACTGACAAGGGTGCCTGTTGTCCAGGGTGATTGCTGGCTGATTGAAGGGGAAAAGGGATTTGTGTGGTTGGCAATTTGCAGCCAGAACCAGCCCCCCTATGAAAACATCCCAATGCATATTAACAGCACAATTGTTGACCTGCGCCTCAATGAGAACAAGATTCGAAGCATCCATTTTTCTTCCCTTAGCCGCTTTGGCAATCTCACATACCTGAATCTAACAAAGAATGACATCTCTTACATAGAAGATGGGGCTTTCTCTGCTCAATTTAATCTCCAAGTGCTGCAGATTGGCTTTAACAAAATGAGGAACTTGACTGAGGGAATGTTAAGAGGTTTGGGACGCTTACAGTACCTCTATCTTCAGGCAAACCTGATCGAGACCGTCACAGCCAATGCCTTTTGGGAATGTCCTGCGATAGAAAACATCGACCTCTCCATGAACAGGATTCAGCAGCTTGATGGCGCTACATTCCGTGGTCTATCAAAGCTTACGACGTGCGAGCTCTACGCTAACCCTTTCAGCTGCTCATGTGAGCTGTTGGGATTCTTGCGCTGGCTTGTTGCGTTCCCAAACCGGACAAGTGAGAGGATGGCGTGTGATACACCTGCCGGCTTTTCAGGCTACAGCCTCTTGAGTCAGAACCCTAGGATGCCCAGATATCGAAATGCTTTCCATGCCCTCTCTTCAGTCTGCACCGATGACAATGTGACTCCGTATCTTCATGGATCTCCAGATGGAGGCATTCCAACGAGGTTGCCTGATTTGAGTCCTTGCGGACTGGATGACTGTTCCTCTGGGACATTTCCAGAGGAGACAATTAGCATCAGCCCCACCTTTCTGGATTCAGATGCTCGTCCAATAATGAAACTAAAAGAAGTTACTCACACAAGTGCAGTAATCACCATCCAGATTCCTAATCCTTTTCGCAAAATGTACATCCTTGTCCTCTACAATAACAGCTTCTTCACTGACATCCAAAACCTGAAAAGCCAGAGAGAAGAGATTGAGTTACAAAACCTTAAATCTCACACCAACTACACATACTGTGTGGCATCCATTCGTAACTCCTTAAGATTTAACCACACTTGTCTGACCATCTCGACAGGACCAAGGACATTGCAAGAACGTGTGGTAAATGACTCAACTGCCACTCATTACATTATGACCATCCTTGGGTGTCTCTTTGGGATGCTCATCGTGCTGGGTGTAGTTGTCCATTGCCTGAGAAAGCGCAAAAAGCAAGACGAGCCAAAGAGCAAGAAGCTGGAAAAGATGAAAAGAAACTTGATTGAGATGAAATACGGAACCGAGCTGGAACAAGGGACTATATCACAGCTGTCACAAAAACAAATTCTGTCCGCTGGTGAAACAGTACAAAGGATGCCATACTTGCCAGCTGCCAGTGACACAGATCAGTATAAGATGCAAGAGATCTCTGGAACGCCGAAGACTACAAAGGGGAATTACATGGAAGTGAGATCAGAGCAACCAGAGCGGAGCATAAGGGAATGCAGCGTTCCTCCATCGGAAACCAGCCAGGGATCTGTTGCTGAGATATCCACCATTGCAAAAGAAGTGGACAAAGTAAACCAGATCATCAACAACTGCATAGATGCACTCAAGTCTGATTCAACATCATTCCAGACTGCAAAATCTGGCGCTGTGTCGACAGCTGAGCCACAGTTAGTTCTCATATCAGAACATCCCCCGGGCAAGTCTGGTTTTCTGTCCCCAGTGTACAAAGGAGGCTACCATCATCCCCTACAGAGGCACCACAGCATGGATGCTCCACAAAAGCGTGCAAGCACATCTTCGAGTGGTTCACTCCGCAGTCCTCGCTCTTTTCGCTCCGAAGGAGCTTACAGATCAGAGTCCAAATACATTGAGAAGGCATCTCCGCAGGATGAGTCAGGAATCATCACAGTCACTCCAGCTGCTGCAATTTTGAGGGCAGAGGCAGAGCGGATTCGGCAGTACAGCGAGCACAGGCACTCCTACCCTGGTCCCCACCATATAGAGGAGTCAATAGAGGTGTCAGGGAGTCGGAAATCGTCCATTCTGGAGCCGCTGACGCGCTCCAGACCCAGGGAGTTGTCCTATTCGCAGCTCTCACCACAGTACCACAACCTGAGTGGCTATTCCAGTCCCGAGTACAGCTGCAGGCCTTCTCTTAGCCTGTGGGAACGTTTTAAACTACACCGCAAGCGTCACAGGGATGAGGAAGAGTACATTGCTGCAGGCCATGCATTGAGGAGGAAAGTACAGTTTGCCAAAGATGAGGACCTACATGACATTCTAGACTACTGGAAAGGAGTCTCTGCTCAGCAGAAGTCATGATTGCCATTTTTATAGCCCATCCAATTAAAGAAGACTGCACAAGTCTCTGGACCAAACCAGCCAGTATCAACGATTAAGTGACAAGTCAGCACTCACTTTTAGAGATATAGCTTAGAAGTATTGCTAGGTCTTTTCATTCTGTTTGAGAATGAAAAAGATTCTGTAGATCTCGCAGTGAGTGTACGTGCCAAGTGGTAAGAATAGCAAACTTTTAACAGTATTAACCTCAACTCAACATTTGATTTTTATATATTGGAAATAACAATAAACTACTATTATATTATCACCCTCATGATCATCATGACCATCATTGATTAGTAGTATTACTGTTAAGATTGATTCTTCTTATTATTATTACAGTTAATCTTTGGTTATCGCATGGCCGTGTCCTGTGACAGTATTGACTGTTGTGTACTTGGAAAACATTCAACTCAAAATGTCTGCCGAACACTGTTCTCCCCAACCTTAGATTTTTATACAGACTGTGCAACTTTGAAAATGCTCTTTTTTTCTTCTTTAGCGACTGTTCAATGGACAACTGCTGAATTTGCTACAGAAGCACACATCTACTGGATTTTAATAGAATGACTTTTCAAAGAAAAAAAACTGCTTCTCTTAATGCTTTCTCCATTCTTTTTTTGTAAAGTTTACATTTTCAAACATACGACGAATGTTTCAAGTCCTTAAGACTTATACCTGCAGCCACTGCGATGCAGGGAGAACTGTTTTTGGCTTTCTATGGTTTTCTTTCATTAACAGATCTTCAAGCAGTGCTACTGAGAAAACTGACTACACAAACTCAACACAAGTCCTGCAAACTGGAGAATGAATGTACAGTGTGTGAAAACTATTTTTCTCTGACATCGGTTTTAGAATATTTGGGGCTTAGTCCGATTTAAACCCACTTCGATTCTTGTTTGCAAGACCTTCAGAGATATGTCTATCTCAGTCAAAGATATTGCTACCACATGCCTACTTTAAACCACTGTGAATCCCAAGACCTTGCTTAATCAGCCCTGGGTTTTTTTTTTTTTTTACTGAAATTTAACAGAGCTATGTCTTTTACGGTTGATAAGCCAGGTCTGAAGTGCTGATCTACGCAGTCCTAATAGCATAATCTGTTCTCACCGCTATTAATGCTGATAGACAATTTAGATTCCACTGATTAGAACAATGGAATTGGCCTCTAAATTGTGAGGAAACAAATTTTAAAGACCTGTACTGTGAAACCACACGTTATGATACCCCGATTCATGGAGTGAAATAACATGACATTTAAATTATATCGGAATCAAAGTGCATGTCAAACGCTTAACAGAAACGTTGTCAGCAGCATATTAAGACCTAGAGTGTGCATAATGTTGTTTTGAAGCTGTCATATCCACTATCCACAGGTGGATTGCTTGGAATACTGTCAGTTTGTGTGTGATTTACAGAGATAATATGTTAAACAGTTTCGCCAACTGATTTTATGAAAGAAAATGCCATTTTCATACTGAGCCTTGTCATACAGATTCATTGCTTGTTTCTCTACTGCAGTCGGATTCTGAACAACCTAACAAGAGGATTGTTTCAGTTTTGTTTTACAAATAAGTTTAGCCAATTTCAGGTAATCATCATGAGAGCCAAATGAACGCCTACAAGAAAGAAGTAATGCATGATAATAGGAATAATTTAACTCAATTGTCTGTATAATTAATAGAATCAAGGTCTTCTTTAACCCTTGTGCACTGTTCAAATTGACTGCCCTTTTGTTAGGTTCAGGATGAAAACATCCACTGAATTAAACTGCTGTAAAAGTGCAGCAGATAAATATTGTTTTCAAAGTTTTTTGCACAAATCTGTCCATAAAACCTCAGTCCTGATTAAAACTACTAAATGTTTTTTTAAAAGACAGGATTCTATCTCTTTAATTGCCAAGTTCACAAATTATGTCACTGATTTGGTAAAAAAAAAAAAAAAAAAAAGATGTATTTTCAATATAAAAAGTAATTGTGGACTGGATTTTTAAAAACTTTTATTACAGTCTTGGACATGTGAATGATTAGTAACAACATTAGCTATATATATTTGATATAATGTTAGACTTTAATTTTTCTCCCTCATTTACTGTTGGTAGCTGTTTTTGCCCCATTGACTTCTTTGATTATGAGCACATTTAATGGTGCACATTTACACAATCTTTGTTTTTGTTTACTCAATGTAGTTCTGAGAGCTGAGATGCATATTTTGATTTTCACAGACACATCAACTGCACAAAGATCACTCACAGACACACTTTAATTTGCTGTTTTACTCCATATAAAATCCAGAAACCAAGCGTTTTTTTTTTTTGCACAGGCCTATTTAAAGGGTTTTTAGACTGATTTCACGCAGCCAGCATTTTTAAAAGCGAAATCTAGGCTGCGGTGGGAAGAAACCCGGAAGTATCGTTGGGAGTTGCATAGGAATGTTGTGTACTTGGCTGTATATTTTATCAGCGAAGAGAAAGTGACACAAATTTATCATTTCAACGCCTTCCCAGTGACCCGAAGGTCCGTTCTGAATGAATGGTGAAAATAAAAAGGGATATCAGAGCTCATTTTCAGCTAAGTTAAGGGAAATAGCACTAGTTAGCTAACCCAAACACAGGTTTTAGATGCCATTCATCAAACTCAGGTAAATAAACTGATTCTTTCACTATTTTAGACTCGTCACAATACTGAATTTAAAGAAAAACCGTCAATTTCCCACTAACATTTAAGGCACTGTTGATGGCTTTCTTAAATCAGACAACACGAGGATGTGTAAGGAGGTGCAGTGTTTTATCGCTCACCGGGTTAGACTGGAGCAGGAAAGCGTCCGCACGGTGTTTAACTGGTGCCATGAGCTGGAGAACACTTGAGCGTATTACTCAAAGAGATTGTGATGTTGTTTGATGCTAAATTACTTTTACTTGTTTAAATTAAACTTAACTGAATGATATTAAAGTGATGTTTACACCATTTCTGCATTTAGAAATCTCGGCAACAGCCGGAGGTTTGTAGTCCACAGCATGTTACTGCAATGTTTACAGTGCTGGTCCTATACAGTACTTCCGGGTTTCTTCCCACCCCAGCCTCGCTTTGATTCTTTAAAATGGCAGCCGCGTGAAATAAGCGTATGATGCCAATTGATGACCAACAGAACAAAATTTCTAATTTGACCTCTTCCCAACAGGAAAAACCACCAACAATCAAAGATGCAGGACTACGTACATGGTGTCATGGTTTTGCAATCCAAAAATGTGGTTATAATGGAAGTCAACAGGGCAAAAACAGCCACCAACAGTAAATTAGGGAGAAAAAAATTAAAATAATTTAAAAACAATGCATTAAAGGTGATGTTGTCTCACATGTCCAAGACTGTGGTAAAAGGTAAAAAAAAATCCAGACCACAATTACTTTTTTTATATTGAAATAACGTCATTTTGTGTGTTTTTCCCACCAAATCAGTGACATCATTTATGAAATTGTCAATTAAAGAGTTAAAATCCTTTAATTTCCTAAGCAATTTAGTAGTTCTGATCAGGACTGAGGTTGATTAACAGATTTATGCAAAAACATTAAAAATAAATACTAATCTGACGCATTTTTACATCAGTTTAATTCAGTGGATGTTTACATTCCCAAACAAAACAAAAGGATAGCACATTTGCCCAGAGTGTATTGTTGAGTTTTAATTTTTATTCAAAACATTTTCTGAAAATATGTCAAAATAAGATTTGTCACCCAAAAATCACTCTGCTAGCTGAAACACAGAAAATGTTATGGGCAAATTAAGATTCAAAATCACCCCAGAGTAGATGAAAACATCCCCAACAGCACATACTGTAAGGGTTAAACAACCAGATGATGATTTCTCTGAACTTTCCCTTAATTTGTGAATAAATCTTTAATATTTTTTTAAGATTCTTTGGAAAAACAAGTGCAAATTCATACTGTTTAAGACTCAAAGGAAATGCACTGTAATTCATGAATAGACCTTTTGAGTTGATTGTCATCTCTTATAATGCGAAGTGTAGCACTCCTGATTTTCCATGGACACTGAAAGTAAGTTGAAAATGAATGTAGAGCAGCCTGAAAACAGCCACATGTCCGGCTGCTTGTAAGAAGGAAAGAATGGATCTCAAAGGGCTTTCATGTCTGGTGGAAATGTCAAAGAGCACAATAAAAATGGTTTTATTTCTTAAAGAATAAATACTTTTTTTCTCAAAGACATATTGTGCCTCAAGCGGCGTTCAGCTGTGGAGCTTAAGGTAAGTCTCCTGTTGTGTTTTTGTGGGAAAAGCACAGACGAGTTGAGGTGGGCTGAAGTGTAATAGCATGTCCTATAAGAAACTGGCTGTTTAGGTCTCAGACACTGAAGATGGGAACTGATATTATTAAAGTGTTCCAAAAATCTGTATTGAATTTCTGGGATTTCAAATCAAAAGTAAATGGATCACAGAATGAAAATCAGATTTGAATAAGAAACACATTACGGTGCACTGTAAAAAGTGATCAGTTACTTAAAGAGAGTAAAACAATTGCCTTGCAAGCAACAAGTTGACTTTACAAAAATAAGGTAAGTAAACCAATTGTAACTGTTAAGTTGACTTAATTTTTATAGTTATGCAAATTGTAGTCACTTTTAAAAAAATAAACTAATCACTTTTTTTCCCAATACACCTTTATTTTATTAATTTTCCCCCCAACTTTTCTGTATCTAGCAAAATGACATACAGTTAAATAATTCAGCTCTTGCAGACTCCAGTGTCTTCTAACTTCAATACAATTTATAATTGTAGACTTTATAGACTTAATGAAGCACCAAATATGTAATATTGCAATAATTACAGTAATTATTTGCAAACAGATGTGCTAAAATAGTCTGCCTGTAAAAAGGGATTAGTTGACTTTAAAAAAAAAAAGTAAGTACAATTTGCATAATTGTAAAAATTAAGTCAACTTAACAGTTCCAAGTTACAATGGGTTTACTTTATTTTTGTAAAGTGAACTTGTTGCTTTTAAGGGAATCGGTTTACTCGCTTTAAGTAACTAATCACTTTTTACAGTGTGGTTTCTAATTTGAGCATAATATTGACAAACACTATAAAAATGATGGGTTCCACACAATTGATTTGTGCTGAGACAACATGGAACAATTAAGTTAACTTATTAGTTTTTACAAATTTACACATTTGAAATAAAACTATTTAGTTAAAAAAAAAAAAAAAGAATTGTGTTGCTCAACTCATTTGAATGTAAATCCCGCCTTGGGCTAAA